ATTGTACCCTCTGTAACTTGCAGCTGAAAGTTACCCCAACGGCATGAAGTTGTGTAGAGTCATTTCGGAAAGGGGGAAGTTGACAACACAGAGGTTTTTCAGGCAATTAACTAGGTAAACAGTCCGAGCAAAACGTTTATAACATCAACAATCCTGATCATTTTGCAAGTGCCAGTTTGGCCTTGCTGACGAAGGGGACAGTCGCTACAATTACTGAAGCAGTGAAGTCAATGCTTTCCCTTCCTTTACTTCTGGAGCCTGAGCCGAAGGCACCAGGAATCTGTGAGGTGGGGCTCAGGCACGCGACATCACCCAACTAGCTTGCCGCGTGGCCGTTAGACCCAGATGTTGTAATTTAATGAAATAATGTCAGAACCGTTTTAAAAAATGTATTTGCCAAGCTCAGATAGAAACGGTTAACCTCGCGGATAACAAATGTCTGAACACCACTGTCGAATAAGCAAAATATTCCTAACACACGGTCTGAATGAAAGATCACTTTTGTAATTGAACAGAAAGGTAACTCATGCTTCAGTGGCCCCACATCAAGCAGTTAGATCACGCACCACGCACGGGGTCATGTTAGGTTAGAAATGCACATGAAAATGGTTTTGGGGGTTATTTTACAACGCAGGTGCACTATCTGTGAGAACAATTAAAAAGCGTTCATCCTGGGTGGCTTCAGCCCACATGGCTTTATTTTCTGATCCAGTCCAGGTTATTGCTGTTAATTGAAAATCTTGCTATTGCGCTAAAGAGTTCACCTCCTTTCTTTGATATTAATTTCATGCAGGATGAAGAAAGGAACACCGTGAAAGGGAAAGGTATTTTCCCTTTTTGTACTAAGAAGAGCTGGGATAATTTTAAAGAAAGGGTTTCAGGATGAAACTCCCTGGTCAAGTACCAGAGAATGGAAATGGGGGTTTTTAATTTTATTGATAAAACACTCCCCATTCAAAGAAAATTAAAGTGAGCCTTTCATAGAAGTTGGTGTCTGATGCCCTATTTTATGTCTATACGCCAGTTGGAGGGCAGAACTGAGCTAACTCTCTGGATCATTCCAGGAGAAAATAAACAACTCTCAAATCTCAAAATAGCCAGAATTGTGTGCAGAATATTCTCAATATTTCGTTGTCGATCCTGAAGCCAAAGTAAAAACAAACTGTTTCAGCACACCCAGGTACATCTTGGCTAGTCATCTGGCAGACCAGTTAATCAGGCAACAAATATTACTTTTCATAGTGTGAAGAACATATCTGGCTAGTCCCCCAGGGTACAAATAATTACATGACCCATTCCTGGAGTCCGAACAGCAGGGCTTCTAATCAAGGTGGGCAGGTAAGAACGCACACGCCGTGGGGGATCCCAGAGCACCACGGAGCAGAGACAAAGAGGGAAAAACATTGCCAGCACCCTCCTTGTAATGGTGGTTGAAGACACCTTGTCTTGGCTTGGGCCACCAGAGCAGAACCCCACAGACGGGCTGCTTAAACCACAGACATTTATCTCCCGGACCTCTAGAGGCTGGGAGTCCAAGATCAAGGTGTCAGCATGGCCAGGTTCTGGGGAGAGCTCTCTTCTTGGCTTGTAGACCACCTCCTTCTCATTGTGTCTTCACAGGGAGGAAGGTGAGAGAGAACTCTCTGGTGTTCTTTCCTCTTCTTGTAAGGACTCCAGTCATATTGGGTCAGGGTCCCACCTTTATAATCTCATTTAATGTGAATTACACCCTTTTAGAGGGCCCATCTCCAAATACAGTCACACCGGGAATTAGGGCTTGAACCTATAAATTGTGGAGGGACGTGATTTAGTCTGCAGCAGTCCCATGGGCTGGAGTGGGCCACGGAAGAGCTGGGTCAGTGTCATGCGGGTTGCACGACAGTGAGTCTGGGCTGTCTCCTTCAGAGCCATGAAGTGCACGTTTCTCAGAGGCCACTACTGTCACACTGCAGGGTGCAAAACCCTCAGAGTCTGATTTCCGGTGGCCCCAGCCCCAGAATTTGTTCACGTGCCCTAGACGGGCCTTTGCTTTTCACCCAAACAACTCGAAATGACGCCCCAGAAAAGATGAACGGGACGGGAGTTATAATCTCTCTCTTCACACACATGTGATTTCCAGAGACTGCATTGTTAGCTATGAGCTACGGGAAGTGACTTTTTTGTTGTCGTTCTTTATTACTTGATTGCTCTACAGGAGAGATCTCCTACAGAGGCTTACGTGCTCGTGGAAGACAGACGGGATTCTCCCCCTCAGCCCCTTGCTGAAATATGCACTCGCAAGAGCAGGGGTTTCGATGTGTTTGGACACAGCCCCTGGCACACAGCTGCTCACTCTGGTTTGAAGGAAGGATGGTTGACGGGCGTCGCAGACGTGTGTTCTAAGTATCTCCTGGTCCTCGTCATCTAGGAAGGGCATCGTTGGCCCTTATATTTAAAACGGCTTTGTATGTCGAGTTAAAATGGTTGTATTCAGGCCGCTCTACGCACGCCATGGCCAACAATGAAAGAGCAGTGCTTTGATATTCATTGAGTAAAATAATAGATAAACGAGTCAGCAGGATTCGAATGCCCTGAGACAAGGGGGAAAGATTTTTATTAGAAAAGTGACACTTTCGAAGCAGCATTTGAGGACCCATCTGGCCGTCATGTGAAGCATTCACGAGAGCTGGAGGGAGGAGTGTGGCCCAAGCAAGAAGACGTTGGGAAGACTGGTGGGCCTGACATAGGGAAGGCCCAAAATAGGACGGTGGCCGTGGGGACGGGCAGGCTGGGGTGGACAAATCTGAGGGCCGCTGAGAAGGCCCATTTGCTCTTTGGAAGGGGGAGTGGTGGGGTTGGGAAGGGAAGAAAGTTGGCTCTTGGGATCTCGGGCTTACTGGCTCGGGAGAAGAGGTCACCATTCACCGGGGCGGGGACGTTTCACTGGGAGAGACTGAACCTGCTGCCTTAGCCGTCCCCATCACAGAAAGTGGGTTTCCTGCAGAGTCCCACCACTTGTAAGGCCACATAGCACAGAGACGGTCAAGAGGAAGGGACGGGGGAAAGAGGGCAGAGGACAGGGTCCGGACTCCACCTGGGCATACCAGGCACCAGCACAGGATCCGTTCTGTGCTGAGAATCCAGAGGAGGAACCACCTCGACAGACCGGCTCGTCACCCTGCCCTGACTCCTCTTGTGAACGGCCGGATGAGGTGCATCAGCCTCTTTCTCTGTCGGCTTTGACATTCCCTTCTAAACAGCCTTGAAATGCATGTATTTATCCTCTCGTGTTAAAAAGAACTCTTGTCTGAAAGCAGATCAAAGTAGAGTTGCCCAATTCCTCAAACAGATAAACGAGGTTGGGGGAGTCGGGACGTGCAGCATCCCCCCCCCCCAAGTTCGTTGCCGTCCTCCCCGGAGACCCACGAGATGCCTCTGCAGATTCTCAGATTCCAAACGCTGAGCCCTCGCGTTGTGATCTGTGCGCGAGGAAGGAGACAAATACCACGCGACGAATCTACTCTAGGCCCCGAAGTGTCTGAAATTACCCCTGCCCCCACCCTGCATCACAATATTTAGCTTGAGCTCTTTGGGAGAATTAATCGCAAAACGTAGGAGGTAACTTCACAAAAACAAACAAACAAAAAAAAATAGAGTCCCGTGGATTCCCAGAGACTAAAAATTCCAATAGCCTTTTATCAGGAAACCAAGAGGAGGCAGGAACCACTAATAAAAATTCTTGCTAGGAGAGCTCATATGGATGTCCTGCAACGAGAACTCTGTCCCCTGGGCGGACCTTTGCCGTTGCTTTTTGAGCAGTGCTGGAGAGCTTTGCTGTGACCCAACAGTACACTTTTGCAAAGTGGTTGGCTAACGTTCTGGAATGTAGTCTATGGCCATTCAATGAATTCTTTCCTCTGAGCAAACAAGCTGGCGCTAGAGGTATTCCACACATGGTCACTTATTCCCATTAGCAACCCCAAACAAGCAAACGGCCTTACCCAAACGGCAGAAAAGGCGAGGTTATTTTTAAATGTGCTCCATTTAACATGTTTCACAATCTGTGGTTTCCCAACAACAAAAAGAGTTGTACAACCTTTGAAATTACACGAGAATTCAAAAGAAGGCACACCAAGTAGGGAAAGAGGCGGTCGAGGGCAAGTCACACGTTACAAATGAATGAAAATAACAAAATCCTCTGCAGAGAGCTTATTGCCATTTTGGTAACCTCCTAGTAAAATCTACGCCAGGAAGGAAAGAGTTATGACTTTGGGGGAGGAACGCATTGATCTAATGTTTTTCTCCCAACAGGCTTCTCGTATTTTTAAAAATAAGTACGCTCCAAAGTAGCTTTGAGGAATGTGTTTGTAAAGGCAGCCTGATTATAAAGCCCAGGAGATTACAGCAAGTCAGGGAGGAGGGGGGTTCTCGGTTTCCCATGATGGCAGTGCCTGCCAAGCGGGCTCAAGTCAACAGGACACGGCTGGAAATCCCACAGCCCCCGTACCATCGGGACGTCCCTACCTATGGAGGGGGCCATCCAGCACCCGCCCACAGATGTCCTACACAGATGTCCAGGGTAATAGCTGCGGCTATTACCAGTAAAACATGTCTGGTGGAAGATAAAAAGAAACCTTGCACTGAGTCCACATTTTTGTTTTTAATTTTCAACCGTCTTGACACGTGATTTGTACAAGCTTTACACGAGCTCTTTCTCCTGAATATTGTCTGACATCAGCCACCCTCACACCGTTAAGGACTGAAATGGACCTGGCTTTTAACCCCTGACATGATTTCCTAATAAAACGTGCTTTTCAACAGACCCGATAACTGGCGAGCCGAGGTCATGGCCAGCCTTGGTTTAAAAAGACTCACCACGCATCACCTGTACCTGTGAGACAGTCATTTCTCAAACAATCCCTTTCATCTGCAAATGAGGAAATGAGTCAGCCTTACTAAGTGTTACCTCATCATTGGCGTTTTGCTATTCAGCAGGCATAGGAACGTATTTTGTTACTCACACAAGCCTGGTGTCACCAAGCATACGGGTCCTATGGATCCCTCCTCTTCAAACAACCCCAGGTTCTATTGTCTAAGATCTCAACAGTCTCTCTGATTGGGAAAGTGCCTGGCCGCTCACAAGACGACATGACTCATTGTCACTGCTCAACTTCAGCTCAGCACAAGAGCTCAAAAAACCAAAGCAGCCCTGTGATATCATCCCTTTACTATGCACCTTTAACATAGTTCAGATACAGACCTTGTTGAGTAAGACACAAAGCTTTCAACTGAGAAGAACGTGTCTCCACTACTTAGGAGAGCAAACATTCTGGGGTTATGTTTGATTACAAACACCAGACATGCTCCAGGAATCTGGGTGTGTGGTCTCGGCTGATACGAAGTATTCCGCAAGGTTTTGAGCTCGACTGACCGGTCACCTGAGTTGGTCAAAGTTTAACCCGACCGACATAGTTGGAGCTTCGATAACCGTTCTGTTTCCAGAAGACACCAAGGGGTTTACCTAACCGAACTCCTGGTCCCGAAAGAGCCCATGTGAGAGGGGTTTCCGTCGCCATCAGCTATAGTGTAACACTTGCAGCAAAGGCTTGTAAGAGGCTGAGTCACTCCTTTTGGTAAAATCCAGCCAAAATGCAGAAAGCCCACAGGCCACTGTACAGCCAAGACGAAGGAAGTATTTTTAATTGAGCTGATGGCACCACTTGCTCGGGATGGCTCCAGCTGGAAAATTGGAGAACAGAACGGGGCAGAGAATGTTGCGTTCGGGAAAGGTTTGGTATCATGTGAAAAGTTAGGTTTCTTTCAAATTTAGCAAATCATTGTTTAGCTTCCTCCTCTCCCCTCCTCCCCCCTCCCCCCCACTCCGGCATTGTCTGTTTGCTTCTGGGAGATCTTGAGAAAACACAGAAGCTTTGTCAGTCTCTAAAGAGGAAGCCAAGTATTGTGATAGGGTGGTATATCGCACTCCCTTACCCCCAACGCATACAGCTTGTTTTTGAAGAAACTTGCTTCCCTACCCATTGTCCTGTTTGTTTTATGAAGGCTGTGGGGGTCAAATCATGTGTGTCTGTCACTGAATTGTTCGTTAAAATATCACTGAAGTGAGAGCCGTTCAGTGCTCAACTCTGCGCTGTCGGAAAGAGTTCTGTGAAATCTTACCACCCCACTCCTGTGACTCGGCTGGTCTCTGGGACTCTGGATGTCTGTGGTCACATGTGGGCCTCTCCTGGCCATGTGCCTCCCAGCTTCGTGGGTCGATGTGGAGCCTCATCTCATCTCTGATCTGTCCACGGACTAGTATTGACTTTAACCTTGAGTAACTACTAGAAGATATACTTCATCAGAACCAAACATTGGCATCTTTAAAGGCCATGACCATTTTTACAGACAGGAACAAAAATCATATATGGACCTCGAAAGTGATTCTTAAAGAGGCTGTTTCCCATGGATGTCCTTCTGGGCAGGTTTTAACAGTTAGTGATGACCAGATAAATACGTTTTTCAATGATCTGGATTACTCTGAAAACCTACAGAAGTGGTGCCCCAGCTCTTTTACAGAAACTTATCTTAGACTTGGAAACACTTAGTTTTAAGGGTGAAAATGACAAAAACAGAGTAACTTTATTTTTTTCTTGCATCTCATTTAAAATTCGTCTATTGGGCTAGACTAACATGCCAAGATGTTCCCCATAATGTAAGGATTTAATATCATTTTACCCAGGCCGCGAAAGGACTCCATAGACCAGAGGTGCTCCTCACGTGGGGTGCCGAGAAGTCCCGGGCACCCCAACCTCTCTGGGATGCCCCTACTCCATCACACTGATGGCGTACCCTGTCCTACTCCTCCAGAGTCAGGCACGTACACAAAGTATCTTTATCTTCAGTAAGACAGGTGATAAACTCATTCAAACCAGAGAAGCTCCCACGTTAACATTTCAACCCAGAGATGCAAAAGAAAAACACGCGATCATCATGCACAGAAGCAAGAGAGCCTTCCCAAAGCCTCCTCTGCCACTTGAACCATCACGTATATACTTTCTGACCCAAAATAAAATGAACAACCTGACCCATGGTTTTTTCAGATTAGTAATTTTACGTATATATGAAATGTCGTACACACTTATACAACTTAAATTACACGTGCTATGCTTTCAATGATTTTCTTCCAGCAAATGGAGTAAACTCGCTGGGAGACAGTGACCTTGTGGAAAACATAAAACTCCTCATGGCCAGTAAGACTGGATCAGCAAGCCGAGGGAATGTGATGGTCGTCAACAGCGACATTCTTGTGGTTTTATTGCCCCTCAGTGAAACCGTACGTGACACAATCTCAGCTCACACTTTCTCCCCCTGTTCCGCGACGCCCCCCACTAGCATCTCTCCCTTGACTAGCGCTGAGAGAGAATTTTCTAAAAAGAGAGAAAGAAAGAAAGAAAGAAAGAAGAAAGAGATTCACCACCCCCCGCCCAAAACAAGTAGAGAGGTTAATCCCTATAAGGAGTTCCAGTTAACAGATTTTCCAAAAATTAAATCACTATTTCATAAAGGTTACTGATATAGTTCATTTCTACTCAGCAGCAAATCGTTTGATTCAGTAAATTTGAAGTGAAATTACCTAGAATCTCCACGGCCACTCTTCTAGATTCAGGCTGCCTAATATTTTTTTTATTGAAATTGTTTCAATTAGTATGGAACAGAGAGGATAAAGGTTTATAAATATAATGTAATATATTTATTATTATATTCATATCATATTAATATTATATTTAATAATAGATACTTTAATATATAAATATATATGTACTACATATGTTTTGCTATATATAAAACATACATAAAATTATTCTACTTTATGTATAATATATAAATTATACATAGTTACAGTTATACACAGTTACACGCATTCACACACACATATACACATAGAGAGAGAGATGCCCGGTTCCTCTCTCTGTCTTGAGTTAAAGATAGTAACATAACTATCATTCTGTATTTTAAGGAATAGCATTCTGTCATTCTATGACACCAGTTAACTATTGTGTAATTATTTTTTCAGTAGATTTGAGGCATCTGATGATTATTGATCTGTTTCCAAATATCTTAACATCAAGATCAAACAAAGCTACAGAGAAGCAATGATCCAATTTCGGTATGTTAGAGGACTGACTCTTATCTAGTCATTTCTATATTAAATCACAAAGCTGACCCCAAGCAAAACAGTATGTTTTTTTGGTTTTTGAAGCATCGGAGCTCATCTACGGACTCTGGGTTTTATATAAATTAGAACCCAGGCTGAAAAAATAACCACGGGAGAGAACAACCAATGTCTTTGAGTATTTCCTTCCAAGCAATGAATGTGTGCAGTTTTGTACCCAGGGGGAGATGGTCTGAATTTATGAATCACTTTGGAGTTATAAAAACTTAAGTCAGTGAAAGCGTCCTTTTTACCATCTCACCTTCTTATGAAGTTTCTTAGAGGGATTAAAAAATATTGATATTAATAAATATAGTATTTGAGATGAATGGGCCGTAGAACTCCCAAGTCTGTGAAATAAATGCAACACTTATCTGGTCATATGGCTGGGTTAACAATTAGTAGTCCATGTTGGAAATAACACGCTCACCATGTCCCATTTCTAATTTTTAAAAAATTTTTTAAATGTTTATTTTTGAAAGACGGAGAGACAGAGCGTGAGTGGGTGAGGGGCAGAGAGAGGGGGAGACACAGAATCCGAAGCAGGCTCCACGCTCCGAGCTGTCAGCACAGAGCCCGACGCGGGGCTCGAACCCACGAACCGTGAGATCATGACCTGAGCCAAAGTCGGACGCTTGACTGACTGAGCCATCCGGGTGCTCACCATGTCCCATTTCTAATAAAATTTTGTAAAAGCCTATTTGATATCTGATCATTTGTAATGACTAAATCTGGTTAGGATATTACTACTGAAGAACTTTAGTGGCATCACATATCGTAATGTAATAAAATATTCCATCATGAAGTATCGCTCTACGCCTAAGATTCTGCATCGTATGAAAGACTCTTTTTTAAAAAGGATTGATAGTCTATCTGTGCAGCCCATTCAATGTCAGATACAAACCCAGGACAGCTGGTGAGGATAAAACAGGGGCACTGAGGGGGACCAGAAGCCTCAGCCATGGCTGTGCTGAAGCCTTGCACGTAGGCAGAACTTTCATTAGTGAATTTTTCAAGAGATATGTCCTCACGTGACTTAAAACGCACAATACTTAAATATTCTTAATACATAAGCACTCTGGTCAAAGGGTTAATGGAAGAATCTGATTTGACAGACTCAGACCGTGTATTCGAATTTCAGTGGGAAATCTAGCATCACGTGGAGGAGAAAATTCTCCTCCAATATGGACTCACAAAAATGAAATACCCATTTCTCCCAAGTGTCTGCCATGCTTGTTGGATTCAAATTACGTTAAAGTCTGTCTATGCTATGAACAGTTAGATGAGCAGATACAGAAATCAATCTCATAAGCATCACTTTATGAGAAAATGAGCTAAAGAGTAAATACTGGCCCCAACGTTTATGCTACTTGAGAACTCTACTGCTTAACACAGGCCCACCGCACCAAACAGGAAAATACGTGACCTGTAGGGAAGAAGAAATTTCAATAATAATGAAAACAGTATTTAAAATTTTTCAGATTATGGGGCGCCTGGGTGGCGCAGTCAGTTAAGCGTCCGACTTCAGCCAGGTCACGATCTCGCGGTCCGGGAGTTCGAGCCCCGCGTCGGGCTCTGGGCTGATGGCTCGGAGCCTGGAGCCTGCTTCCGATTCTGTGTCTCCCTCTCTCTCTCTGCCCCTCCCCCGTTCATGCTCTGTCTCTCTCCGTCCCCAAAATAAATAAAACGTTGAAAAAAAATTTTTTTTAAATTAAAAAAAATAAAATAAATAAAATTTTTCAGATTACTAACATCTCTAAGGATAACGGGAATCTCTATTGAAATGTTTGCAAGGGGCAGGTTGACAGGGAGAAAAGCATGCTTAATAATCATATACAAAAATAAATTAATAATAGAAGTAAAAACAAATCATATACAGTGAGACATTATCTCAGATATATTTCCATGTCAAGAATCAGGAGTCCCTACTAATTTCCAGTGAACAATAACATCTGATAGGCCAATGTTTCTGTAAACCAGAACTCACAGTAATTAGCTATTTGGCATATTTAAATAACCCCCCAGATCCCAGTTTGGTTCAGTTCAACAGCTATGGCTAGTTCAATAGCGGAGTTGATTATTCTGAGTGTTTCGTTAACCCAGATATGTCTCAAGAAATGAAAGAGAAGGAAGAAAAAATGCCTAAAACTAAGTACTCCTCAAGGGACTGATTAGATAATAATGTGTGTTAAAATTACTGAGTAAAACACTTATTACACTATAGCAAACAATAAATCTGCCGGTTGTACTGAAAATTCTGCTTAAAAAAAACACAACAAAGAAGCAATAAGAGGAAAGCTATTTTTTAAATGACATCAAAACTAATTTCCATCCCTGGGTGTCATGCAGCTTAAAGTCCAGCGATGACTTTAGATAAAAATATTCAGACAATTCTGTATGCAAAGTCAGTCTAAGGAGACAATGTTTGCTTACGAAAACGAAAATGTGACTTCTATAGCACCTCCCACAGAATCTTCTAGAAAGCTTGTGAAAAAAGCAGACTTCTGGGCCTTTTCCCAAAATTTCATCGAGCAT